CATCTAAACAGAACTTTGAAACTTTGTTACACAGAGCTTTTCATGTATCCAAAAAAACACAAATGATAACTTTGGTTGGACCAATTAAAAATGATAAAAAAGTCAAACTTTAAACTGTGAATGTGGAACACCAAGCTTGTCTGTCAGAGAATATAATGCAGAAAGCTGGGCTCTAAACAGAGGGATATCAACTGTTAGATTATCAAAAGTGCTCATGATCCTCAGGAATTAAAATATAAAGTTCAGTCCTTMACAGAGCCGCTGTTTTGGAAAACCACATGAACACATGGGAGCTGACGGAGATCCTACAGTAACAAGTCCATCTATCAACAGCTTCAGTTTGAATACACACGTCTGAATTTCTCGCTGAACGCTTTAACATTGGCTCAGGAGGAAAATGCGTGATTGTTCTGGCACATCCGTGCCTAAAAACTGTGTCAGCTGTGTTATTAAAGCCTGTGAGAGATTACAGAGGAGCTGGATGTGGGAGTTAAAGGAAAACAAACGTCTTTTCTTAATGAAGTGGAAAATGATTAAGGGCCTGACAGAATRCATGAAAGTGAAGGGGACCTGACCCCTGTGGGTTTGGCAGGGYTGTTTGAAGCTCTGCCTCGGCCCATCTCAGTCCAGCTATCACAAGACCCACAGATCTGGGGGGAGAGGGAGTCCAGTCTGAACTGGAGTTTGAACTGAAGGAGGAGGAGGAACTCTCATAAAAGTCTGTTTTATCTGACCCCCCCACTGCTGAAAGCCACAACACTGTGTACTGTTATTATGTCTACAGACATGTGCCAGGAGGATCTGTGGATAAATGCATGCACAATAGATGCATTTCATGGTTATGAATTACATGGTTGTGTTTTGGTTTATTTTAGGAAGATGTTTAATGATACACCAATTATTTTTTATAACAGTATGTTTAAACTCTCTGGTTCACCAGAACTACAGATTGGAGAATTTCAGGGTGAAATGAAACGCTGCGGAGTCACAGTGAGCATGCAACAACATGCTGTCTGCACAACATGTTAGTGTTATAATTACAATCACCTGTGTGTTAGAGAAACATAAATATGAACCTACCTTTGTGAACAGAGGAGGAGCTGCCAACTCACCACCATGCAGTGGCACCACTGGGCTCTGCATCTAAACAATAAAACACATTAAACTGAAACTCTTTCATAGACAAGAGGATTCTGGCCCTGAGCTCTGTGTGTGTCCTTACCCGAGGTGGAGGCTGGGACATGGACTGAACCAGGGTGGAGCGATGAGGAAGGACCTCTGAGGTTTTGGGTGATGATGAGCGTATTGTAAGGGACATTGATGTACACTTTTTCTGTGCTCTAAAATAAGCAGAATATAAATGAGCATGGTTAGACAAAATAACAATGTTCTTGGTTCTATTGCTTTTAGTTTGTTTCTGCAGCAATTCAGACGGAATCAGTGATCTTGGCTTTAGAATAGGAATGCACCGACATGAATGTTTCAGCCGACATCGATATCTTATATTGATATTGGTATTATGACCAAACAGTGCGGTATACCGTTTTGTACCGAAAACAGGTTTTTATTTTTGTTATGATATGAATTTTCTGAATATCGGTGTAAATAGCCTGAACATGTGCGGAACGTTTCGTCGCRGCCGCCAGTGAACTGTTTCCCGGGGGACACATTTCCTCGCAGCACCACTAAGCGCATTAGCATGCTAACGTTATTGTTGGAACAACTGGCGGCAGGTGSTGTGTTTCAGCTGCTTATATGGTCTGACGTAAATAAAACATCCCGTTTTCACCATCGTTGAATATAGTAAACAACTCTTCAGTGACGTGCACGGTTTGATTTAACGCGCTACGTTATAATGGAGACGTAATTGCATGGAGACTCTAGCGTGCTTCTATTGTGAAAAGCCCGGGGAAGTAGATTTGTAATGTGGCTGAGTTGACTGGTGTGCAAAGTGAGTCATCCTTTTAAGTTTTATTAACATGCAATGATAGACTAGATAATGGTTTTTTTCTCAACCCTTCACCATCGGACCTAAATGCATAATTACTGTCTACAACCAGGCAAAGAATAAAAGACGTAGAAGAGAAGAGAAACAGTCATACAGAGGTACAGTAAAATAAAAAAGGTCAATAAGCAAAGTTTGTACATTTTATTATCAGCTGAGCTGTGAGGGAAAAAATTATCGTCAAATACCGTGAAACCGGTGTAATTGTTGAAAATACCGTGATATAAAATTTGGGTCATACCGCCCAGCCCTATGACCAATAACCAATATTTACTGATATTACACAAACACACAAATTATTTATGTACATATGCGCACAAATACACTTGTGTCTTTTTTTTGATACTGTAAAAAAAAMAACCAGACCACTGACATGGCTCTATTTCAGTTATTCTTGGCTGTGCAGCATCACTATCACTGTCATAATCAAACAGATCAACCAACCATCTCCCCTCCCAAAACAGAATCACAAAAAATAAAACGTGGAAAATCAATATCGGATGTTAATATTGGTCCAGTTTTACTTATCAGGCCGATACCGATATTAATGCTGATATATCCTGCATCCATAGGGATGTGTTTGAGTGCAAAGATAGACAGGAACAGAAATCAGGATGGTACAGAAGATAAAGGTAGACTTTTATAAAAGATAATAAGAAAATTTAGAGAGATAAATTGGATCTGTGATTGGTAGTTTTTAAATGCAAAGCAAAAAGTTTATAAAACACTGATTTGGTTTGAAAATGGAGGATTAAAATAAACACAAAGAAAGTTAAATTTAGAATTTAGCATTTAACCRTGATATGGTTTCTTTTTCACATGAACCATGTTGACCTGTCATTGTTTGGAGTGTGGAATGTGTCCTGCATGCTCTGGGTCAGAGTTGTGGCCCTTGAAATGGTCTGACTAAAAGGAAACAGACAGCAGATTTGATCAGCTGCTGCAGGGTTCATTTAATTATTTCAGAGATTTAATGTTCACCTGCTCCTGGGGTTAAAAGAAACGTACTGAGGCATGGCTCCTGATCTTGACTTGGATGCTGCTCCTTCTCCTTCTGAGTCTGATGACGATGCCCCTGTGAGTGGACAGAAACAAAAGTGTGTGTGTGTGTGTGTGGAGTATGAAAACAGCATTGATAAGCAATGTGCTTGACTCTCTTGGTGGAACAGTTTTACAGATCTCACAAGTCAACACAAGCTTTATTATGTTGGGGGTCAAAGGCCACTGCACGGCTTTCCACTTGGTGCCACTCAAAAAAGATTGTCTGCTGCTGACAAATTCAGCCTTCGGAGGACACAGCCATGCTAGTACTGTTTCCTGGAGAATATCCTAAATAATTTTATTCAATCTAACAATTAGCAAGCATTCTTCAGCAATCATATAACATTTTCCAAATCATCTGGTAATTTGCTTGGAAACATTACAATGTTTACATGCAGAAGTTGGATTAGTACTTAAATCTACTAAACAAAACTGAAATACAGAGCCTGTGGGAAACCAGTTGGTAAAAACTGGATGCGCAAATTTAAAAGTTTCAGAGCAAAACAGAAGGGACAATTAAACAACAGAAACAATAGCAACATATTTTAACCATGACATTGCAATGGGTACCCCTATTGAATGATTTCTGATTCAAGAAACATGACCTCAACTGTTATCAACTGCAGCCTTATTATTTTATATAAAAAACTTTTGTAGTTTTGTGCAAAAATTAGACCTTGACTATATTGGATGCAACGAATAAGAAGCAACAAGATGATTATCAGTTTGTTGGACAAAAAACTTAATAAATATGTGTTGTTTGTTTTGCTCAGGTAAATTACTGAAACTTAAAAAATATGAAAGCTTTAAACCACTGAATGTAAACAGAAACAGAGATATGTGTTAGTACATCGTACAAACTTTTCTTTCTTTTTATTATTAAATAATTTTGTTTCTGACCTTCTATATACACCTCAGCTGAGGTATTGTCAGCTCCCAGACTGTTGGAGGCCACACAAGTGTAACGTCCTGTGTCGTCCTCAAAAGCTTCAGCAATCACCAGCGTGTKCAGACCACCATCCCTCCAGATTTGTATGTCTGGGGAGTTTTGCAGTTCACGACCTTCACAAAACCACCTGCCAAAAGATGATTTTACACAAAATGCATGGTTTCACTGAACATTTATAAAATATTGAAAATGTTAAACAGCTTTAGGTTTCTGAAACAGTGGAAATAAAATGTATATATTATTAATTTCATTAACCTTTACTTAATGAGTCAAATCCCACTGAGATCACAGGTCTCTTTTACAAGGGAGGCCTGGGCCTGAAGGCATAATATTGTACAGGTTTGTGGTCTGTGGGAAGAAACCAGAGTACTCAGAGGAAACCCACACAAGTGAACATGCAAACGCCAAAACCAGGGGATCAAACCCAGAACCTTCTTGCTGTGAGGCATTAGTGCTAACCACTGATCCATTGTGCTTGTTGATGGTAGCTGACACTGGAAACTACACTGTGCTGGTTCTACTGGACTTAACTTCAGAGTTTGACAATGTAGATCACACTGATCTTAACTGAGAGATTGTTGGCATTTCTGGTGCTGTGATTCACTGGCTCACTTCTTATTTCTTTGATAGGTCTTTCACGGTTTTTATAAATCTGGTTTACTTTGATGTTGCACTGTAGCCTTGAGGGGTACCTTTAATCTGACATCATCTTGCTTTTTTTAAACTCTTTTTGTTAAAAGTAGTCTCAGAAATCTGGTTTTTGTGTTTGGCAGTTCGGCCTCTTTGCCCATCCAGGACTTTGAGATCTTCCAATCAAACACTGTTGGTGGTACCTTGGTTTTCGTTGCTTATAAATCCTGTTAACATTCAGCCCGCGTGCCGTTTTGAATTTGTTTTATTTTTGAAGTATCAAATCTGTTTCCTGTTCCACTTGTGTCCGTGTGCAATGCATCAAACTTGACGTCTAGGCCCTCCTCTTTCGATTGACACCTCATTTGACCAACTGGGTTCAAGTTTCGCTTGTCTAGGGCCAATAATTTATCAGTGGTGACCAACTTCCGGTTTCCGTCTTTCTAGTTTTGATTGACTGTAAAATCGGCCAATCAGCTCCGAGCTTCGTTCTGACGTTACAGCTGTGTAGCCAATCACCATACCTTTCATTTAATGTATAAATAGAGGGGGTGGGAACTTTGTTAGTGATGGAAGATGAAAACACACTGGAGGCGGCCATGTTTCGGCTGTGTTACAATGCTAAGGAAGACAGCTAACGCTCACAGGAAAACGTTGTTTTCCACTGTTTTTTGCAAGTAGGGGTCTCTGCGGACTAGTGCGGACGAGTGGGCGTGTCACAAGGAAAGGCGATTCTAAAGCGAC